TTCGTCACGTTGTGTGTGTGTTGTGTGTAGTGGCGGACTGGTGGGCTGGGGACGGGCTGAAACAGCACCTTCCACGGCACTCTCACGCAAGTGAGAGACACGCCGTTCAACCCCCGTTGTGTGAAATCCTGGTGTTTGTCTGTGTATGGGGGGCCAGGTCGTGCTGTGGCGCGCGCAGTCATGGTCCGTCGACCATGTCAGCCGCCGCGCCCACTCCCCACTCCAGTCTGCTGACCGGCTCGGACAGCGGCTGGGGTGTGGGAGTGGGAAGGGAGAGTGAGGTCGACGACTCAGCGCACTTTCTCCTCACTATAAACAATCTGACGCGCTTGAAGCTATCACGGTGCGCTAAAAGCCGTGGCTTGGAAGGTTGCCAACTGACGGGGTACCTTGGACCTCCTCCTTAACGGGAGGCGGTCTGAGAGTCAGGCTGCAATGGCTCCTTTTTAATGTGGCCTTTATGGCATTCCCACCACAGCGTGGGATCCGAGCCAGGCGCTGGCGGCACGCCCAGGTGCGGCTTCGGCCGTGCCAGCCTCCAAATCTCTGTCGTGTTGGTTGAAATCCTGGTTATTTGTTGTGTGGACCAGGGGGTGTGGTGGAACGCCAAGGTGAGGATCCGTCCGAGCCATCCACCTGTGGCCTCCCTCGTCTCCGGTCTTCTTGACTCTGTCTTGTCACCGGGCCCAGGCGGGGGAGGAGGAGAGAGTGTAGTTAGATGCTACGCAAGTCTACTGGCACTATAAACCCCTGCGTAAGTCACCGTCCCTGCTCCCACTGCTGCTGCAGCTGTGGGGCATACGGTGGACATCGTCGAAATCGACGGTCGAACTGTCGGTTAGGTTTAGGGTTAGGTTTAAGGGTTAGGCTTATGGCTAGGGTTAGGACTAATTTTAGGATTAAGGTTAGATTTTAGGGTTAAGTTTAGGGTTAGGGTTAGGCTTAGCTTTAACGTTAGGGTTAGGGTTATGTTTAATGTTAGGTTTAGGGTTACGTTTAGGGTTAAGTTCGGGGTTAGTGTTAGGGTTAATTTTAGGGTTAGGGTTAGGTTTAGGGCTAAGTTTATGGTTAATTTTAGGGTTAGGATCAAGTTTTGTTTCAGTGTTATGGCTAGGTTTTGGGTTAGCGTTGGGTTTTAGGATTTTGGTTACCTTTCGGTTTTGACTCGTAGGGTTAGGCTTTCCCTTTGCGGTCAGGGTTGGGTTTAAGGGTTAAGCGTACGGTTTAAATTTCTGTCATTATTCCACCTACTCAAAACTTCCCAACACTCCTGGTAACTTTACTTTTACCCTGAATCCATGCATTCCTCTACCCCACCCATATAACCCCATTTCCTACCGTTCCCGTGCGGCAGGTACCTGGCCCTCCGCCTCCCCATTCCTGACTACCAGCTGCGATCTAACAGAGATTTCAGTCAGGGTCCTCGGCTGCCAGAGAATATTGACTCCATTTTGAGTTCAACAGCCACACATAGTCCTTCTGCGCTGTGAGGTCTATCTACTGTTTAGGTAAAGTGGGATTAAAACCTTCAGAGCCAAACATAAAATCACAAAAATCAGATGTATTCAGCTAGTATTGAACGCGCTGGTTGCTAAATGCTCACTCTGTGGCGTTTTATTGACCGTCTAAATGCCACCCGTGGGCGCGAGAGGAAGCCCACTGTTCTTCTGTCAGTGGTCCTTCGTCTCTGTAAAGCGAATCCAGCATATAAGTCGTCCACTTTGTCCTCGAAGTGGATGTGCATTTTTACGTCAGACTCTCGTATATGTATTTGTGTAAACTAACAACAACATTCACAGGAAGGCTACAAATTAGACCAAAACAACAGCAAGTTAAATCCTTATTTTGGAATATGGACTGCGATCAGTAATTGCATCTAACTACACTCTCTCCTCCTCCCTCGCCCGAGCCCGGTGTCCAGACAGTGTCAAGAA